TTCGCATCAAGTTGAATTTAGATTGGCAATCACCTGTTGAGTATTATTCGCCCGTTCTATCATTTGTTGAGATTGCGAGGACCTTTCACGAATTATCCCTAACCGCATGTCTACAGTAAGACTCGCATTGAACTAGGCCCCGCCTCTATCGTCTTATCGCTTTGCATTCAGAATATTATACATTTCGTTCGCAATATCTCGAACCGACCCGCTAGACAACGAATTCAAACGTTAGGTGCCCTCGGCCTAGCTTATTTTGGTGTTAGAACACGAGTGAGCCTTATCATCGTTTATGATCGACGTCAACAGGTTACAGTTCATCTCAATTCAGACTCCCTTAACTAACCCGACGTCTGCCGGTTATCTTTCTACTTGCGTTATAGAAGTGTAATTTGAATAATCGAGGACAATCGCATTCCGCACTAGGCCTCCCTCGTTTTATCACTCCGCATCAAGAAGACGTGAAATTTTGATTGCGACAACCGACCCAAATTCTTGGAAAACATTTTGACACGTTAGTTTTCATTGGCTTACCATTAACGTATATTGATCGCGAGTGAGACTTCTTCTCATTTAACCCTATTGCCAACTGCCTACAGTCAAACCAGCCCCATAGTAATACTCAGATTCAACTAGGTGCCTCCCTCACTTTATCGCTTGGCATCAAGACGAACAAAAATCTCGATTGCAATATCCCAACTGAATTGCTAGACGTCGATTTCATACGTTCGTTGTCCTTGGCCTCTCATATATTGGTTAAAATACGAGTCGGACTCATCATCGTTTAATACTGCGCCGACTGCTTACAGTTTCAACTCAATTCCAACTCGATTAACTAATCCGGACGTCTGCCGGTTATTCTGATACTTGCTTCTTCCAACCCCTACACCAAACGGCTACCTCAATCGTGTAATCGCTCAATTGGAATAGTGGAGGATAATCATACTTTGGTCTTCATTGAGAGCGACAGCCGTTATCAACTCAACGAACTTTCCACACCAAGCGCCGGGAGTGTCATATCTGATTGAGTGTGATAGTAGGAAACTTTTCGCGCCTTGACAATATGACAGCTCTACGGAAAGCCTACCTGGCTGAAAGGAAAAGGAAAAATCGCTCAAAGAAACATGCGGAGGAGCGAACAAGTGAGTTGTCATTGACTTTGGATGATACCAAACGCCGGCATACAATTACGAATTGCAATAGCATAAATCATCATCGAGATAAGCGACTGGTCATTGAGCCTATTGATCCAGCTATGCATGCACGTCAAGACAAGATTACTTGGTCTTCAAAGCATTACATTAAGCTTGAACTCTTCCCTCACATGCTCGGTAATAATCCCGACCGACTACCGACAAGTGCCGAATTTGAACACTGCAATAACCTTATCAAAAACTTCAGACTCTTCAACCATGGAAAAGTTGTCATCCACGATAAGAAAGACAAGTCTAAAATTATCGCCCTCATCGAGTTCACCCCATTCGACCAGATGACGCCTAACGGATTAGCCGATATTAATTACATTACACGGTTTTTGCATTTGGCTAGACAATTCGTCAATGCAGTAGGATCTGAAGCGAGATCATGGGGAGGCAGAATGTTTGCTATAGGCTGGAGGAAGGCTATGGTTGGATTCCAGCTCATCGGACTTTACCGCAATAAAGCCACAATCGACCGTTCACCTCAAGCTTACGAATCTCTCATGAAAAAATCCGAACAAGCTTCAAGTATCCTTGGTCGATTGTTTCGACAACTTGCCAATGTTGCCTTTGCCGATAACCAAGAAGTTATGAATCAAAATTCTATTCCATCTATCGGCCAGCCGGACTTTGGAATTCCACTGGGAGACGACGACTGCGCGCCTAACTTAACATTTACTTCGGATGATTTCTTCAACCCACCTCATTGTGACACCGAAGACTTATCCGAATTTGCCTTTGGCTTGTTTACACCAGTGAATAAAGGCGACTGGTCTCTTCCAAATACACAGCAATTCTCACCAATTCCGGGAAGCTGCTTCGTTTTTCCGGACTATAGATGTGGCATTGATTTATCTAAAAACAACGGACTGGTGAAAATGGTATGGCGTGCCAAGGATGTTCGACATTGCACCATCTACTCGGCAAATACATCGATCTACGACCAAATAGGGATGTCCCTCCAAATCAACAAAAAGACAGCAAAAACATCCCACGATATAAAATCAGGCAGCATTTATGAAAGACCCGCGTACAAAGATGTGCCAAAAGAAAAACTTTACATTGGTAATGTCCAACATTATGTTAAAGGGCTACTTTAATTTCACCCCTCGCCTCAGCTTCGAACAGTCGTTTCCACTTTTTTGTTACCCCAATAAATGGGACATATGTTATACAGTGAGTATATAACCACAGCCCTTTAATGTGTCCAAGTCATGAATTAGATTTGTTTGACTTTAATGGAAAATCATGTTAATCTTTTTTGATTGTGTGAAAACGTCATATGCGAGTCAGTTGGGAGGCCATTCCCCAAGAAGTTTTTGATAAGGCTCATTTGAATCTCTGAATTTGGAGGACTGCTAATCACGATATGTTTGGGCTGATAAAGGTCAAGCCTATTGAAGAACTTGAATGTCAGATGATTTTGGAGACTGTCAAGTGGCCTCGCCCACTTTAATAACTGATTAGGTTGATTTGACTTGGTGCGGAGCGACTGTAAATAACCAGGGCTCCAAATCACCATAGAGGCGTGACTCGGCATTATGCTGTCAAGTGCAGACAACACCCAATGACTGGACCAGCCATCTCCCAATGCGGTATTAGCAAGGCAGAACATAAAGTCATTTTGCCTAGCCATTGTCTGAGCGTAAGGACTGCAAAGTTTCTATAAAACATTAACATATTTCCTATATCTCGACACCTCACTTATCACCCTCCTACCAATTTTCCTCATTCTCCATTGTAGTCGACAAACTAGATCTATTGACATGACAGTTCAAGCTCCATACATAAACCTGTTGGTTAAAGGATTGAATGAGATATCCGCTCTTGATTTCTCCGGCGTGTGTAAACTCGAAATGAAGGTAAGGGAATTTGCATATCGACTTATGTTGTACTAATATCATCTTTGGTTCAACAGGAAAAATCATTCGACTTAGACAAAGGCGTATGCAATATATACTTGATCACGATGGCGGCTAAATCATCATCATACAACAACACTCAGGGTGTATACCATAAAGATGAAAGATTGATTCAGACGATCGTCGCCTCATGTCTAGAGGATTTTGGCCATAACTTGTCATTAGGTCTGAAGTATAAAGTTAAAGGGGTCATTCTAAGGGATGACTCCTGTGGGACCACGTGGGAGTTTAATCCGATGCTTTCGAAATTGTCGACAAAATCATGTCACCTCATCGTAACAGGCACTGGACGAGTCAACACTGTCAACTTAGGCTGCGCTGCGGGAAAAGACGAACTTACACAAGATGAAGTTTTGGTTAATCATCAACCATTAGTGAGTTTAAGACTTTGCCTTTTATATTTTAGCTGACACTTTTTATCAGGACTTCGCCTCTCTAATCCAGCTGCGATTAATTATACCTAAACATGAATCGTCGTCCATCGACTGGAATGCTATTCATAAAGGATCGGCGCTGGAGTTTTCCGGGCAATTCATTGGGGAGGAAACTGAGTCGGGAATCATCAGATTACTTGTAAGGTTTAACAATTTTTTATCCTCGAATTGATACTGAACCCTTCATTTCTAGATTCAGCCGACTTTATAGGAAGTTGTCCTTAAATACAGTTCACATTCGAATGATGGGAATTACTCCCCTCATCGACTCTCCAACTCAATACCTGACCAGGGTATACACGTTGTTCCACGAGAACTGTAACTCGAGTAGTTGTAACCGTTGTCATGTAATTACATTTCCTAGGCCTTGAACGGATGAAATGAAAACAATAACCGCTGTCACCTCGTACATGAATATTCCTGAATATGTGATTGGTGGCCCCCGGGGGGTTGAGATTCAAGGGTAAGCTGGGGCAAGGGAAATGAAGTGCTAATTCCATGTAACCTCAACGCTAAGCAACATTAATGATGATCCAATCGAAAGCGAAGATAACAAATAGTACCTCTCCTGATTTCGAATTGACCGCTCACCTCAACTGTAATTATTCAATCCCTTATAGACTCGGAAGATGCAACGATCCGTGTGAGTCATGCGGTGTGCTCCATTGGCACGAAGAAGCAACTCTTCTCGACCGAAGTAAAAGGAAGAAATCCTATTCGACTTGCTGTCAAAAGAACAAGGTGACGTTACCTGATTTTGATGCATCGGCTCCGAGGTACCCATCAGTCCTGAGGAAAATGTTAACTGGAACCTCAGAAGGTAAGAATTATTTTTAATTTTATGATCACTACTAACAGCCTTGATTCAATTAGATGATGTAAACTTTCAACAATCAACACGGATGTACAACAACGCAATATCTTTTACATCATTAGGTGCAAAAATCGACCACTCAGTTCAAAGTCCAATGGGAATAAACATCATCAAAATCTCAGGTGCCCTTTCACATCGTATTTCCAGCTTGGAACCGACTAACACAGCGCCTGGGTTTTCACAAATATACGTCGTCGGTGACAATGGACTTGGCGAAGCCGAATATAGGCTTAATTGTGCCCTTGGTCGAAGCAAGGATGAAGTCAAGAAATCACGTATGAAACAAGGTACAATTTTGATGCTCGTTCACTTAATGGGGAAGATCAACCCGTACGCAAAACGTTTTCGATCGGCTCTAGACGTCCTCTCAAAATCGAATGCTCAAACAATCAGCTTGGCGGGCGTCCCAAGGGCGGGGGTTGACCCAAAGCGGTACAACTGTCCTACAGTCGATGAAGTAGGAGTCGTGATTCAAGGCAATGGCGACATTATCGGCGAAAGACAAATTGTCCTCCATCGCAAGGACAATTGTCTCGAGAAGATATCAGACATGCATTCCTCCTATTTTCCTCTCCGATACCCAATTTTCTTCCCTTATGGTCAACAACAATGGGATAACTTGTACAGCGCTTGGACTGGACGTGGTGAGCAACTTGCAACTACTGATAATCTTGACTACAAATGTTTGATTTCATGTTGACTCACATCTTTTTACAATGGTTGTGAATTTTCAGTTAAGGATAGGAAGGTGGGCTCACTCGAGTGGTTCGCGTACCTCCTGTTCAGACGTCGAAAGAGATTTTCACCAATCCTAGCCGGCCGTTCCCTCACGCAAGAAATACTTGTAGATATGTATGTTTGCGTTGAACGGGGACGACTCACCTTTGTCACAAACAATCAAGGCAAGCTCAAAGCGGCAAACTATAAGCGTTTGATCAATTCTCTCGAAAATCAAGCCCCCATAAGTGGACGATGTGTCATTCTGCCTTCTTCATTCATCGGAAGTCCCCGTTGTATGCAACAATTATATCACGATGCTATGGCTATCTGCAGAAAATTCGGCCCACCCTCGCTCTTCATCACTATGACTGCGAATCCGAAGTGGGATGAAATTGTCAATGAAATCCCTGCGGGAGAAAAGGCCTTCGATCATCCAACAATCGTCGCCCGGGTCTTCTACTTGAAGATGAAGGAATTGATACGCCAAGTAGTAAAGCTTGAAAGGTTTGGGAAGGTCTTAGCCTATGTCTACACTGTCGAATTCCAGAAAAGGGGGTTACCTCACCTCCACTTAATGGTTACACTCGACGAGAAGGATAGACCAGTCACGCCGGAGGAAATAGATGCTATCGTTTCGGCGGAACTTCCTGATCGACAAAAATCACCAAAGCTCCACGCACTTGTTACTGAATTCATGTTGCATGGGCCGTGCAAGGGTCGCCCCTGTTGGAATGGGAAGTCTTGCAAATTGGGGTTTCCGAAACCTTACTCCGAACGAACTGTAAATGTTGACGGGGCTTATCCCGTTTACAAACGAAGGGACGATGGCGCTCGCGTTCAAAAGCATACCTCAACATTCAATAATGGAGCAGTTGTTCCATATAACCCTTACTTAACACTGAATTTCCAGTGTCATATAAACGTGGAGGTTCCAGTCAACACAACGGCCATAAAGTACCTGTACAAATATATTACGAAGGGACATGACAGGATGGCATTGGGTGTTGACTCTCAGGATGAGGTCCAATCCTTTGTTGATGGCAGATACGTTAGTGCGGTTGAAGGTAAGGATTTCACTCAACTTCAATATGACAATAGCTGATATGATGATAATAGCCGCTTGGCGCCTTTACAAGTTCCCGCTATCCGACAGGTTCCCTGCTGTGACAAGGTTAAATGTCCATGATGAAGACGAACAAATTGTCTACTTTGAGGGGGACGATGGACTTGCAGGCCAAATCAATAGTGGAAAGGCCAACCGAACGACGCTGACTGGCTTTTTTGAGCTCAATGCGACGAATGCCCTGGGAGCCGATGGAGTGCCGGCAAGGTCAATATTTTATGAAGACGTAGCGGCGTACTTCTCGTGGAATAAGTCCGAAAAGTGTTGGGTTGCAAGAAAGACCAAAGCTCTGACTGTGGGGCGAATTTTTTCGATATCCTACCTCGCGGGTGAAAAGTTCTACCTCCGCGTGCTCCTCCTGCACCGTAAAGGTATCACGTGTTTCGCCGACTTGAAAATCGTTGACGGAGAAGTTTTGAATAGTTATCAAGACGCGTGCAACGCCTTGGGCCTACTGGTAAACGATTTCCTTTACGACCAAGCTTTACACGAGGCGGCAACGGTCCGCTCGGGGTTTCAACTAGTGCAGATGTTTGCTATGATCTGCATTCATTCTCCTCCTTCGGCACCCGTTCAATTGTTTGAGACGCACTATCTAAACTTCACCGATGATTGCAGTCGGGTTGACATGAGGAGGCGCCATAGCAGGCAATTAAAGGACGAGGAACGACGAGTTCTGGCATTAATGCGTCTGGCGGGGCTTTTGAATGGGATGGGGGGATCTCTTGAATCATGCGGCCTGAGATTAACACGGAAGGAACGGAGGTTGCTCCGTGACTTAGATGCAGAAAAGCAATGTAAAGAAGACTCAAGATCAATCTCAGCGAGACTATCAGTTAATATTTCATCCTTCAATCATTCTCAAGGTTTGTTTTTCCAAAGGATAAAAAATGCATTAGGTGGTAATCATGGTAAAATGTTTTATCTTGATGGACCTGGTGGTACTGGGAAGACTTACTTACTTAACAGTATAATTGATTTGGCGAATATTGGTGGCGACGCTTGCATTGTATGCGCCTCATCCGGTGTGGCAGCTCTTCTGTTGAGGAATGGACAAACAGCTCACTCGACCTTTAAAATCCCTATTGATGTGCAATCTGGCGCTGAATGTTCCTTGGAAGGTGATACACTAATCGGAGAACGACTCGTTGCGGCTCGACTAATCATTTGGGATGAGATTGTCACCATCCACAAGCATTCAATTGAAGCTGTCAATAAATCACTAAAAAGATTGTGCAACTCGGATGAAGAATTTGGCGGGAAGATTGTGATATTCTCAGGAGACTTTCGTCAAATCCTTCCTGTGGTCAAGTATAATGAATATCCACCAGCCTACGCATCAACCATCAAATCGTCAAGCATTTGGCAATCTGTCAAGCAGTTCAAGTTAACCGAAAACATGCGACTTGCCAAGGCAACGACTTCGGATTCGGGCGACAAGAATAAGGCATTCAGTCAAGCTTTGCTCATTCTAGGCGAGGGCAAGAAACAAAAGTCCGACTTTAGCGTCATCAAGATGAATCACATCAACATGAAGGCATACAATTCGAAGTGTGAGATGCGCCAAGCGTTGACTAATTTTGTCTATAAGGATCTGTTAAGCCGAAGTGGGTCGTTCAACGATGAAGACCTTACGTACCTGAATGAACGATGTATTCTAGCCCCACTCAACCGTGATGTGAAGAAGCTTAATGACGAGATTTTAGATAGGCTTCCTGGTATTGCTGCAGTCCTCAAGTCAATTGATACGCCAGACCCGGATGGAGTTGGAAGCTTGCCGGAGGAATGTTTAAACAAGCTTAGTTTGAGTGGTTTTCCCGATCACGAGTTGAGGATAAAGGTCGGAATGCCTCTTGTGGTAATACGGAATATGGATATCGAGAATGGTGTTTGCAATGGTTCGCGAATTGTTGTTGTGGCCTTTGGTGTTGGTTTTATCACAGGGAAACTAATGTCTGGACCATTTGCGGGTAATGAAATAACCTTACCTCGAGCTAAACTCCACAATAAGTCAAGTGGCCGCTCCGGTCTCTCCTTTTTTCGTTATCAATTTCCGGTCGCACCTGCATATGCCATGTCGGTCAACAAAAGCCAAGGTCAAACTCTCAACAAAGTAGGAGTTTATCTCGAAACAGATGTCTTCTCGCATGGCCAACTCTACGTTGCAGTTTCGAGGGTCTCCGATGTGAATAATCTACTGGTGGTTAGGCCAAGTAGAAGGAATGGGGTTGTGAATGTTGTTCACAGGTGTATCTTCAAGGATAAGAAGAAACGTAAGTTTTCACATG